TAACCCAAAGTGTGACCCCCCCCCCCCCTTTTTTTATCTCAATCCATTTCTGGACATTTTCTTTGGTTGACGACTGAGTGTTTTGGTTTTTGAGTTGTTTTGTTGGTTCTTCTTCCTAAGAAATGGGAAGTATTGTGTGTTTTTTGTTGTCGTTGGTAATGAAATATTGATAAAGCTTTATGCACACACGTCCGTATGATCGATGTTGTCGGACCAATACGATGCCATCGTGTTTATACATTTTCTTTAATCATCATTATCATTATCATTATTATTATGGCATATAGTTTTAGTTATATGGTGACGGTATAAGAATAAGACCTCTGAATTAACAAAGGTCGTAACGTGTTGCAGCATGCAGAGGAGCGTGGCTCCCACGATCCTTCTCCCAATTATTCGAATTATAAAATCAAAACTGAATTAACTAACGCTTCTAAACCCAATAAAAAGACAACTACTAAGTACCCTTCATTTTTTTTCCCGACACAAGTAACCTCGACGTGTTCGCTACTTGGGCATTTGCTGGCTAAAAAAAATCTCTGTTTATAAGATAAACCATAAACAAACAGAATGTCTGATTTATGATCCCGAATCTCTCTCTCTATATATAGATTATTATTGTTACTCCATTAAAATAATATACGGTGATTCTACTTACAGCCATCATCGCCAAAACTCCAATTAAGTGGAAAACGAGCTCTATTGATTTAAAAAAAAAAAAAACTCGTAACGGGATGTAGAAATGAAAAAGACGAACCATATGAATTATCAATTTCACAAAGGAAGCAAGCTAATCTATATTCGTAATACGCCACTGCCGAATCCAACCCCCAAACGTATGAAATCAGCGCAAATAACCATTATGTACAAAAACCTAAACATGTCAATGAGAAAACCCATGTACCTTTTTTATTTTTTTACGTGGTTCCGCATTGCCCCACCTCGTCCTCTGTTAAGATCTATCGTAGTCGTCAGTGTAAGAATCTCCCATCTAGTTGAAAGCATGTCTTCGGATCATAGTTAGCTTCTGTCTGTAATGATTCCTCTGGTGCAAGTAACCGAAACTTCTCAAGTTTCGTGGGCCAGTCTTCACCAAGAATCGACGGATTTACCTCCATCGCTACTTGAAGATCCTCCAATGATGCAGACACGGGAAAACGCGTTTCTTGAATGTATCTCTCGGAACAGAGATTGTTAGTGTTACTGTCAGCCATGGCAGGACATAAATCTCGACACATCTCTCCTCGACTGGACCTTGAAGTTGCTGATTCCAAACATGGTTTGATCAGCCTCTTCAAGAAAGCATCGAGGCCCGTGTTTAACAAGTTGGTAAACCCTAAAGAGACTTCTAACCCCTCCATGCTCGGAAAGGTTTGTTCCAATTTCTTCTGTAAAGAAACAGTGTCGGGAAGTTCACCTACACTGTAACATGTTTCCACATGAGAACCAGACAGCAATCTACCAGAGATCATCGTTTGTCTCGGTGTCTTTTCTCTGAGACTAATGCCAAGAGGAGCTTCGATGTGTTGATTCTTGCTGTGAGTCCCCGGGCTTACCGTTGACTGGTCAACCTCTTCCCCATCTTCTGTAGAGCATGGTGGCCTTCCACCATAAGAAAAAACCTCAGTGATTTGG